TGAGGGCTTCCCCAGTAGCTCAGATGGTAAAGAATCCATCTATAATGCGGGAGACCTGGGTTCCATCCCTGGGTGGGGAAGATTCCCTGGAGGAGGGCGTGGCGCCCCACTTTAGTATCCTTGCCTGGAGAATCCCCATGGACAGAGGAGCCTGGTGGGCTACAGTCAGGGGTCGCCGAGAGTCGGACACAACTGAGCCACTACGCACAGCACGTCTGAGGTGAAATTTTGTGGATAACGACCTGCCTACCTCCCTTCTTCCCCGCCTCCTTCCCTGAGGTTCTTTGTTGTCCTTAAGAAACTTTATGTACTTCCATAATTACAGCTAGGATAATATCAGGAGGAGTGAGTTGTGTTTTTTTCAGGAGGTGGATGGATGGATGGATGATGGAAAAGTTTAGAAGCCTGCCAACCTCTTTCTGAGGCCTTTCCCCGTGATTCTGCCCCTGCTCCCTTCCGGCCAAGAAAGTGTGCGTGGAGCACGGCTCCTGGTTTTCCCGGGCTCTTGTGGAGGTTAGGCAGAAGAGCTCTTGCAGCGCAGGGCAATTGGTTCTGAATCATAGGTTTGCTCTGTGTAGCTGGACTGTGGTACTTAAAAAAAAAAAAAGAGCTTCTTTTTTCAAGTGAGCCTTAGACTTAGTCTACTTTGAAATGTTCCAGAATCTGTTTTTTAAAGTGTATTCATTTATGTTGGCTGTGCTGGGTCTTCATCGTGCACAGGGGCTACTTTCTAGTCGTGGTGCACAGGCTTCTCACTGCAGCAGCTTCTCTTGTGCAGCGCACGGGCTCCAGGCCTGCGGGCTCCAGAGCTGTGGTTCCCAGGCTTTGAGCGCAGGCTCAGTGTTTGGGGCACAGGAGTTGAGTTGCTCCTCGGCATGTGAGATCTTCTCAGACTTCCCAGGGAAGTCCTGGAAACCATTAAAAAGAAAAAAATGGTTAGGAGTAAATTATATTTATAGAAGAAGCTTAATTCTAATTTTGAAATACATCGATGCAAGAAATGAGGAACTGTGGGTCTGCTGGAGAGGAATCGAGAGATGGCAGGGGCCGTTGGTGAATGCCGGAACCAGAAGGTTCCTCCTCGGCCCCTCAGTCTCCAAGAGCCCACAGGCACGTGATGAGTTTTATGTCTGCTCGATTTCACTGTAAATGTTAACGCCACACACATCAGTTCAGTTCAGTCACTCAGTTGTGTTCAACTGTCTGTGACCCCATGGACTGCAGCACGCCAGGCCTCCCTGTCCATCACCAACTCCCAGAGTTTACTCAAACTCATGTCCATTGAGTCAGAGACGCCATCCAACCCTCTTATCCTCTGTCATCCCCTTCTCCTCCCGCCTTCAATCTTTCCCAGCATCAGGGTCTTTTCAAATGAGTCATTTCTTCGCATCAGGTGGCCAGAGTACTGGAGTCTCAGCTTCAGCATCAGTCCTTCCAATGACTGTTCAGGACTGATTTCCTTTAGGATGGATGGGTTGGATCATGCCATGTACATCACAGAATTCAAAGCCGGAGGGCCCTGTGATCAGGTCAGGTCTGTATTTGCCATCATCACTTTCAGCCTTGTAATTACATTACAAGCAGGGAGTGAAGTTAAGCAATCTGTAAAATTTCTTGCATGGCTGACCTTTTGACTTAGATGCTGAGACCATTGTCTGGGTCTTAAGTCTTGGTGGCTCCCTGTGGGGTGACCTCAGCCTTGGAGCTGTCACGGTGCCATTAGAGGGCACTGAAGTACAGAGGAACGAGCTTGCCCCACATCCTCCAAACAGCAAGGAGGCATCGACTTCCCAGCCTTGTTCTGCCTACAAAGAAGGACCGACTTCTGCCCTTTTCCTGGCCTGGTTGTTCTAGGGGAGGTCACAGGCAGGGAGATGGCAGCCACCCCCACTGCTGAGTGAAGGAGGCGCTGGCTGCCCTGCCTTGATGGAGCTCCTGATTGGAAATATTTTTATGTATTAAATGGAAAGTTCTACAAGCTTGTCTTTCAGATGCTCCTTGGGCAGGTGTGTTCATTCAGGATTCCTTGGCCATCTGGGAAACTTGCGAGGAGCAAAAGCCTTGTAGGGAAGTTTGGTTTTGAGTATGATCTTTTTTGTTCAGTTGCTAAGTCATGTCCTACATTTTATAATTGCCTGCCACTGTTTCAAAATGCGCTTTGGATTTGTAGTCTTCTTTGATTTACTTTCATGTTTGTTGGAAATATAGTTTCACCTGGTATTTATAATTCTATCTAAAAGAAACCACTAGAAAAATTGTAGCCCATTTGTAAATCCTGAGTGGTTGGATCATAATAGCTTTTCTTTCCAACTGATGCTTACTGAAGGCTAAGAAAAACAAATTCGTATTTTTTTAAACAAAGACTGTGTTTTGCTTCCTCCAGCTGTTTCTATGGAATAGCATTTGTCTCTTACTTTTTGAAATTGTGCCTTTACTTCAAGTCTGTGTTGAGTTATCAGTACTCATCAGGTTTGCTGTTTCCCAAACCTTGTTTTTCTCTCTACAAAACTATTGAGGAATATACAGAATATTTTATAGTTGTAGTTTTAAAAAAGTGTCTCCTAGCCCTTTCGTGCAGGTGGAAGTTAGCATGGATGTTACATATCTCTTGACTCTTTTCAAATTTAATATATTAATAGTTGGTCCTAGTCACTGTCTGGTGCTGGACTCATGCCCAGAGGGCAGTTCGATTCACTGTATCCATTCTTTGAAGTGGAGACACCATGAAGTTGTCATTGGACATTTCTTTAGGAGAGGGGAACCTGTGTTCTGTAATATGTACTAAGAGACTGTCCGTTAAACAGTACAGCAGCTTGATGTCACAATGCAAGTGGCATTACTTACTAATGGTGGTACTGAAGGTCTCTCTAATCTCAAGAAAGAGACATAATGTACTGAGTGCACTGGCTAAAGAGCAATGGAATGTCCTGGCCTGTGCTCCTGAAGAACCTGGCCTGAGATGGAGGCTGCCACAGGCTGTGGTTTGTGGGTGTGGACGGCTCATGTGCTGTGTGCTTGCCACGCTGGGGTATAAGGTGCCTGGCAGCTCACATCCCGTTATCATCCCCACTGAGCAGGCAGGAAGCCGCAGCTCAGGAAGGCTCTGGCTCAGGGGACTAGAAATGAGGGGAGGGCAGGCGAGCTTGCAGGCAGACTGGGAGGCTGCCCTGACAGACAGACGGATCTAGTAGGAATGACTGAGATCCCAGGTGACGGGCAGAGTGTGGTGTCGACAAGAGGTGCAGAAGTGAACTGTGGTAACAAGGAGAACGTGTGTCTTCATCCTGAGCACCTGCTGTGAGACTGCATGTCCAGACCCCACTCCACCCTCCACCGTGGGCGTGTGCATGCGTGCACACCCACAGCCCCCCACCCCCACTCATTCTGCAAGGGTCTCTACACCCCCCACCCCCACTCATTCTGCAAGGGTCTCTACACCCCCCATCCCCACTTAGTTCTACAAGGGTCTACACACATACACACCCCTACTCATTCTACAAGGGTCTTTACAGAGGACCACCAGGGATTTATTCAGGCTCCCAGCCCATTTTCTTTACAAGCACTGCTAGCTTGCTAAGCTCTGTGCAGAAAGGTCCCTGCCCTCAGTCAGGCCAGAAGGTCGCTGGCGTGGAGCGGAGGAGGACCCGTCCAGTTGTCCCTGGACAGTGGGCTCTGGCCCTCGCTCTGTCACCGGGTGCAGGTGACAAAGGGTGAGGGACCAGTTTTGTAGTCACGAACCTCAAATTAAGGCCACTTTTATTTAGGTTTTTTTAAATGAAATATCGTTGGCATGCAGCGTTAGGTTAGCGTCAGGTGTGCTCTGTAGTGGCCTGACATTTGCACACATCATGAAATGATCACCGTGATAAATTTAGCACCCAGCTGTCTCCGTACAGAGCTGATTGCAGTATTAACCAACGCTGTGCGTTACACCCCCCACCCTGAGGTGCCTTTACTTTTGCAGTTTACCTGCAGATTTAAGTGACTGGTCCTCTTCCAGGGTGCCTTCTAGACCACTGCTCTGGCCACGCGGCCCCAGTCGGTTCTTTACTCCAACATCGTTTGAATCTGTGTGTTTAGTTACCATGGTTACTAATTACCAAGTCTGAGGACAACATTAGTAGTTTTACAACACAGGAAATACATGAACAAGTGCCTTCAGGTATTTAAATAATATCTTTTCGTGAAAGTTTCTAGCTAAAGACATCACTGATTGCGTTCTGTTGGCTGGTTCTCCCTTCTCCATCAGAAAGAGACAAATGTGTCTTTGATGTTGTCTAAATGTTTTGTTTGGTACTGTGTGCAGTTTCTCAAGTGCAGAAGCCAGTGAACTGCTCAGTTCCAGTCGTGACCTTAACACACTGGGTTGCCTTGTTTTACTTTCACTCTTTTTCTTCAGTGTGGCAGATTTCAACTGTCGAGAACTTTTATGTATTTTTGTTCATGAAATATTCAGCTTTCACAACAGCTTAGTTTATGGAATAAATTATCCTCAAGGACCAGGGCAGAGGCCTTTAAGTGTTTTGTTTTCTTGAGTTTTATTTATATGTTTCGACTCTTAGAAGAGACAGGAAAACATGAACTCAGTAGTTAAAAACTAGAATTGTCTGAGTCGTGAAGCTTGGAACCTATGTTAAGTTAAAGTGCTCCTCTGCGTCTTGATGACTCTGATCCCACACAAAACCCAGGCAGTGTGGGTGGCTCAGCAATGTGTGAACTGGGGTGAGACTTAACTGAATTGTTATTGCATGTAACATGTGTACATAAGCAGATTTGCACTTATTAAAGTAAGAGCTGATTATTCTTAATCATGATGTGAAGGCTGATGGAGGTGTAATAATTCTCAACAAGTTAATGTCTGGTTGCCGCCACTTTTTTTCCTCCTTGGTTTCTTGCGTCTTACAGAGTTTTGATAAGAGAACTGTCTTTAATGGATAGCCCTTCACACAGAACAAGGCCAGCATGGTTTTGATGGCATGTGTGTCTGTGTTTCATTGTAGGTGCTGGACTGGATCGAGAACCACGGAGAAGCATTTCTGAGCAAACACACAGGTGTAGGGAAATCGCTCCATCGGGCCAGGGCTTTGCAGAAACGTCATGAGGATTTTGAAGAAGTAGCACAGGTAAGACCTTACTGTTTTCTCCCATAATATCTGTGCAGTTGGTTTTCAATTACGATTTTAATCCCATCTCTGATGACTTAACTTAGCAAGGCGTGTTGGAGATGATGCTTAGATTTCAGAGTGAAGCTGTCTCTGTCTGGGCACAGACGACTTAGACAGTGGATCCTATGGTAATATGTGATGGTCTGGAAACAGGAACATGTCTCAGGTGTTTTTGCCATATTTCTTGTACTGGTCTCTGTTGACTAGTTTGTAAATTGGGGAATAGCAGTCCTTGAATGTCTATAATGATGGGCCAACATTTCTTTCCCCTCTTCTCTTTCTTTTAAATGCTTGTGCTTCAGAAATAGGAGGCAGGGGGTGGTTCATTCACAGCCTAGGAGTTTGATTGTCGACTATGATCCTCTCCAGCTGTGTGACTTTGGAAAAGTCTCTTAACCATTCTGAGACTGACTCCCTGACCTGAGGAGTAGGCATGGCGGGGGCTGCTGGAAGGAAAGGGAGGTCGAGTGTGTGTGATGCTACCATGGCTGGTATATCTAGCCCAGGTCTTTCCTGCAGCTCACTGTTGCTTGGTCAACGTGCCTCTCCTGTTGCTTTCTGTTTTGAAAGAAAGAGGAGTGAAAGAAGAAGGGATCATCTTCCCGTGATCTGTGTACGAAGCTCTAGGAGCTGGGGTAAAAGTTGTTTTCAGAAGGAGTTGTAGGGTGACTCCATCCTGAGACACCTGATAAACCTGAGGAGTACCGAAGGCAAAGTCTCAACCACCAGAGAGAGATGACGGCGTCCCATCCCCGAGAGAGACCCGAAGCTGACTTCTCACCCGTAACTGCAGATGCTGGAAGACGGCGGGATGGAGTCTCCAGGGAGAGGAACGCTGAACCTGGAATCCCACACGCAGTGGATGTCAGTTTGACAGTGAGGCTGAAATAGACCACGACTTGAAAGAGGTCACCAGTCATGTATAGAAGACCTGCAGTGCACGGCTCAGTCAGTCACGGGAGCCCCCCTCCTAACACAGACTCCACCAGCGCAGGGACTCGGTGGCGCTCACGCCTCTGTCACTGGCATGTGGAGCAAGGCTGGTGTGGTGCAGCCAAGCGTCCAGCAGTGTTTGTTGAATGAATGAATTAAATGAATATGAAAGAAGTATGAAAAGGAAGAGGGGGTTTCCCAGCTGGCACAGTGGGTAGGAATCTGCTTGCCAATGCAGGCGATGTGGGTTCTATCCCAGGGTCAGGATCCCCTGGAGAAGGGGATGCTGCTCTAGTATTCTTGCCTGGAGAATCCCATGCACAGAGGAGCTTGGCAGGCCACAGTCCATGGGGTCATAAAGAGTTGGACACGACTGATCACTTGAGAAGAAAGGACCGAGATTGACAGTGAGCATATCAATTGGTAAATGTGCTTGTAAATCAAAGGATTGACCATTTAGGCAAAAGACGACAGACTTGGGGGGAGGTTAAAAACACGATGGGAGAGACTTCCCTCTACTAAGGGGACGATAGAGGACGAGATGGTTGGATGGCATCACTGACTCAATGGACATGAGTTTGAGCAGACTCCAGGAGATGGTGATGGACAGGGAGGCCTGGCGTGCTGCAGTCCATGGGGTCACAAAGAGTCGGACACGACTGAGCGACTGAATAACAACAACAGAGACTTTCCTGGTGCCAGTTGTTGAGAACCTGCCTTCCAATGCAAGGGACGCAAGTTTGATCTTTTGTTGGGGAAGTAAGATCCCACATGCTGCAGGGTATCACAGCTACTGAGCCTGCGTGCTGCAGTGAAGACCTGTTGCAGCCAATAAATGCATATATCAAACCAAACCAAAGCAAAAACCCCCACGGAGTAAGATGGAGCAAAGCCCTAGAGCCCTTGAACACAGAAGGTGGAGCGCTATCCTGAGGGGTATGGCAGGAGGTAGTGTATCTTAGACTTGTAAACTCTGATGTGTGTGGTAGCATTGTTGAATGACCACTAAAGACAGGATAGAAAGCACCACTTTCCATAAGTATAAAGAAAAAAGAACTGCAGAAAACCAGGTAAATAAAATCTCAGGAAAATGGGTCTAGTGGAAGTGAAAGAAAGAACAATAAAAATCATCTAAGAAATCCAAAATAAGGTGTAGCGTGCATGTGTGTATGTGCTAAGTCGCTTCAGTCATGTCCTTTTCTTTACAACTCTGTGGACTGTAGCCTGTCAGACTCCTTTCTGCCATTCTCCAGGCAAGAATACTGGAGTGAGTTGCCACGCCCCCCTCCAGGAGATCTTCCCAACCTCAGGACTTAACCCACGTCTCCTATATCTCCTGCATTGGTAGGCAGATTCTTTACCACTAGTGCCACCAGGGAAGCCCAAGATGTAGCAATTTGTCCCTAAATAGCAGTAATCACACTGAATGCAAAATAGATTATACTTGTTAAAAGAGTCTCTGTATATTAAAAAATATATATATATACAGGAAGTTTGAAAGTATTTTGCTGTTTGCTGAGTCATGTCTGGCTCTTTGCCACCCTATGGACTGCAGCACGCCACGAAAGTATATGAAGTGTTAGTAAAAGATCCACAAGGCAAATCCACAAAAACCAGTGGAAATTGGTGTAGAAATGTTGATATTAAGCAAATAGACTTGAAAGCATAAAAACACTAGAAATAAAAAGAGCCTTCAATTATAAAAGGAAGAGTATCTATATACATCTGATGATTTCATCTCAAAATCTGTAACCCTGAATAAGTAGGAGTAAACCTCAGCTATGTGTGTCCGTGGGTTTTACATCGCAGAGGGTGCACTTGTGTGCTGGGTTCATCAGGGAACTGATGTGAGAGGTAGTCGTGGGATAAGACAGCAAATTGTGCTTCAGTCCTGTTCAGTGAAAATGCCTCTTAAAAGTTACCTCCTTGCCAGTCTTCATGTGTAAAGTTAAAGTGACAACCCAGCCTTCACCTTTCTTGATCTTAGAAGCAGGTTGGGAATGGCTGTGTGTTCAGCAGCCTTCCTGCCCCTGGGGTGGGTCTGTGGACTTCTCTTTTCCAGGTTACATGTGAGCTTACTTCTTATGGATGCTGGTAAATATTTTGCCTTGCTCTTATAGCCAAAGAAATATGGGAAATGCACTCTAATCTCCCCTTGACATTTCCATCAGATAAGCTCCTGCCACAGCCATGTGGTTTGAGAATGGATTTGAGATTCGGATCCTCTGAGCAAAGACACCAGGCACCAAAGACCCTAAGAGGCGGGACAGCAGTCACCTGCCCCAAGTAGTTTATTCACCCAGGACCGTGGGCTCGCCCGGCCGGCCCCTGTCTCGCGCCTTCCCGAGCGCACCCCAGCGTTGTCTGCCGAGTACCCGTCTGCGGCCAGCACCCCGTGGACCCCCCCTTCCAATTCCTGTGGTTCCTTTCACTCTTAATTAGGGAGCTCCCTTCTGTGGCTACCTTTGAAGCCCTTTTCATGGTGAACTTACTTCCTCAGATCTAAGATGACCATCAACTCTCGTCAACACTGGTGTCCAGGGCAGCGAGGGTGGGACGCTTTCTTTGTGGGAGACATTGGTGCCTTTGGGTCTCCAGGGGAGCCAAGGGTCAAAGCAGCAGCACCCCGGGCAGAGGGCTGCCTTCACACGAGCTCCAGGAAAGGCAGGGCCTTGTCCGCCATCCCCTGATTTTCATGTCTTTCGTATCATCCTCGGCACCTTGTCCCTGGGATTCTAGGAGCTTTTCCCTTTAATTGGAAATCCTTAAGCCTAGATCTGAACTGTGCATGAAAACAAAGACAAACCCCTTAAGTGTAAACAGCTTTTGCTCACTTTACAGACATCTGCCCTTGTTTCCCTCTGTCTGGTTTTCACCTGATCACTGGTCGTGTGCCAGGCATTCTGCCAGGCGGGCCACGGACAGACACCCGCCTCTCCTCTCGGGGGCCTCTCTTCTTCGCAGACCCGCCTGGGTGGGAGCAGCCTCTGCTCTCCACCTGAACTTGGCCACCTGTGCGCCCTCCCACCCCAGTGCCAGGACCCGGCCACTCGCCTCTGGCCTCTTCCCCCAGCATCTCCAGCTTCTCTTTCTCTTCACTCTTTTCCTTCTGGGATGAAATATTTATCACCCTCCCCTCACTTGTCGGCTTCCCTGGTAGCTCAGATGGTAAAGGATCCGCCTGCAATGCAGGAGACCCAGGTTCAATCCCTGAGTTGGGACAATCCCCTGGAGAAGGAAATGGCAACCCACTCCAGTATCCTTGCCTGGAAAACCCCACGGACAGAGGAGCCTGGTGGGCTACAGTCTATGGGGGTGCAAAGAGTCAGACAAGACTGAGTGACTAACATATAGATATGGCCCCTCTCGAAGACTGTCCCTTGATTCTGCTCCATTTTTTAGAGACTGGCTGGTTTTGAAGGACTGTTGGGTGACTTTCCTCGGCCTCCTCATTGCCATATGGCAAGCCAACTAGCTTTCTGCATCTCTAGCTGATAAAACTGTGACCCGGGGCCTGCAGGGACGTGCCGTGGCCCAGGGTGGACATTCAGCACTCTGTCATAATTGACCGTAACCTGGACCAGCCACTTAGGTAAATCCCCTCCGCTCACCTTCGAGTGAAAATCTCCGATCCTTTCTGTGTCCACTAACACGTGTCCAGCTTGTGTGTGCAGCCTCAGCCCCGAGGGCTCACTGACCGTGTGCCGGGCCCGCCCCCCATGTACCTGCAGAGACCACGTGTCACTGCCCCCTTCGGGCTGGTTCTGAAGAGCGTATTCTGCTCAGAGCACACAGGATGGGTGGGGCGGCGGGGGGCACCCTGTAGACCCCAGACAGTAAGAACAGATTCGGTATAGTACAGTGGGGACGTTCACAGGCCTGAAGAAATAGGGTGGCTGCCTTTTCTCTAGCCCCACACCTTGCCTGATAAAGATCCTTTGAGGGGGCTGGGAGGACAGATTTGAAATCAGGAGAGCCCCGGGCTGCACAGTGGCTCCAGATGGAGGCTGGTTTGATTAAGACCATGTGCAGCAGGTTGGGGCTCGGCAAGCAGTGGTCCGGGTATCAAGCCAGGTCGCACTCTGTGTTTGTAGCTTCATTCACGGAAAGCTGTCTAGCCCTTCCCAGAGGAGACAGTGACATCAGCCTTGCTCTCCTGCAGGGAGGGCCGAGGCCCCGAGTGACTGCCTTCCCCCGCTTTCCCTCTCCGCCTTCTCATCTCTGAAGGCTTTCTGTCAAAACAAAGTGTAACGCGCATCCTCTGTCCCAGGCAAATCTAAGGTCATGCTTCAGATTTATGCGGTTCTTTTGGACAGAATGGCCTTAGGAGGCGCTTCCAAAGTAGAAGCAGAAGCATCTTTGTTGCTTAATGAAGAGCCTTTTCTCATGTTTCTGAAATGTGCTCATAAGATAAACAGATTCTTGGTTTAGGGAGAAGAAATTTCTTTTTCCGAGTTAAGTTTAAGGCGCGTTAGTGTGCGTCTTGGGGTTTTGTTTTTGAAAGGTCCTTTGTAAAATGAGTTCTAAATTGTCTTTAATTTCAAGATGTTGAACTGGCACTGTATTAAACGAATTTTTCTTCAAATTAACTTCTTCAAAACTTGACGTGGTGAAGGAACAAGACAGAGATTCAGAAAGGAAGTGTCTTATGGTTGAATTCACTTAAAAGGTACTAAATATAGACTGCTCTATAGAACAGTTCTGTGCTTGGCGCAGGAGGAACCTGGAAAGCGCTTCATGTTTACTTGGTGGCAGCGAGTCCTGCAGCTGGTGTGACGGCTGCATGCCCTTGACTGCACCACTGGGGCCCCGTCTTGGACTGGTTCAGACCTGCTGGTCCAGCACCGGACCAGTTCTGCACAGTCTGGCAGAGCCGAGAACCTCCTGACTGATCTGAAGACCCATTCCTTCTTTATGTTGTACAGTGATTATGAGTAGAATGGCTCCATGCTAATGAATTTTTGGAGCGTGGAAGATACAACCATGCTGCCTGTTCACACTGGAGTTTTTAAAAAGATACTAACAGTGCTTTCCACATGAAGCTTTTTACAAGTGACTCTGGGAAAACAAGGTGCTGTTTGACACCTTCTTTTATCTTCTAAAGAAACATCCAAGTCAATGTTCCTTTTTAGATTTACAAAGCTGTGCAGTCCCTATCAAACTACCAATGATATTTTTCACAGAACTGGAACAAAAAATTTCACAGTTTGTATGGAAACACAAAAGACCCAAAATAGCCAAAGCAATTTTGACAAAGAAAAACTGACCTGGAGGAATCAAGCTTCCTAACTTCGGACTATACTACAAAGCTGCAGTCATCAAGACAGTGTGGTACTGGCACAGAAGCAGAAATATAGACCAATGGAACAAGCTGGAAAGCCCAAAGATTAGACTTACACACCTATGGGCACATTACCTTTGACAGAAGAGGCAAGAATATGCAATGAAGATGGAGAAGAGACAGCCTTGTCAATAAATGGCCCTGGGAAAACCAGACAGCTCCATGTAAAAGAATGAAACTAGAACACTTCCTAACGTCATATGCAAAAATAAACTAAAAATTGATTAGAGACTTAAGTGTAAGGTCAGAAACTATAAAGCTCTTAGAGGAAAACAGGCAGGAGACTCTGACATACATCATAGCAAGATCCTCTATGACCCACCTCCTAGAGTAATGGAAATAAAAATTAATGAGACCTAATTAAACTTAAAAGCTTTTGCACAGCAAAGGAAACAGTAAACAAGATTAAAAGACATCCCTCAGAGTGGGAGAAAATAATTGCAAATGAAACAACTGACAAAGGATTAATCTCTACAGGTTTTAAACTCGCAGGAAAGTTGGAAATACAGCCCAGAGAACTTGCTTCCGTCCAACCATTGTCTATTTCCTACCAAAAAGGACGTTATCTTGTACAACTGGAATTGCACCATGAGAATCAGGAACTTGACGCTGACACATGACTATCTTCTAACACTCAGACCCCGCAGTGTCCATGTCTAACGGATCCCATATAGAGTCACCGGACACATTTGGTGTCCTTACGCCTGGAGCTGCTCTCCATCCTTCCTTAACTTCTGTGTCCCGATGTTTTGGAGAAGGCCCCTCATGTTGGGTTTGTCTGATGTCTCCTCGCGGTTGTATTCTGGTTACAAGTCTTCAGCAGGTGTATCCTGGAAGCCCTTCCGGGTCCTCCTCATACCCTCCTGTCAAGCGGTACGCAGTTTAATCTTTGCTGTAACTTCTGGTGTCCACTCTGATCCCTGGCTTAAGGTGGTGTCTGCCAGATGGCTCTGTTGTGAGTCAGCCCTTCCCTCTTTGTAATCACTGAGCACTTGGTGAGTATATACTGTGAAATGCTGTAACAAACATGCTGTCCGTTAAATGCTGTAACAAACATGCTGTCCGTTGTCCGCTTTTGCTTCTTGCTGTCGGCGGGGACTCCTGGTTTCCTAGTGACTGGGTGGAGGACCCTCCGTCACCCTCACTGTCCCTCTGATGCTCAGTTGCCCCTCACATGGCCAGCGTGTGCCTTCACAAACTGGCTTCTCCGCCCTGTCCTCTCCACATCATCCTTGGGCTTTTCCTCTCTTTGGGGCTCATCTTGTACTGGAATCAGCCATGTCTCCACAGACCCCCAGTTCCCTGCAGAGCAGAATGGTCCTCAGAACTAGAGATCCGGGTTCCACCCTGCTTATTGCCATTGCTCCATTGCTGTTCTCAGGTCCTCTCAGTAGATGGGGGGGAGGGGGGCGCGGTACATGAGCGAGTATGCACATGCACGTTTACACATCAGCCCGTGGAAAACCGTGTCCACACGTGGACCCCCCAATTCCAGTCCAGTGCCCCCGGGCTGACTCAAGTGTTCTCGTTTTGCATATTTGTAACTCCATTGTCCAAAATGAGGAACCCAGCTCTCAGTACCTTTATTAGTCTGTTGGCTTAGTAGGTCAGTACCCTGGAGGTCCTCAGTCTCCATCTGGCAGGCTGCCCACTGCCCAGGTGCCCTGTGCCCCACTGGGCTCGGTCTCCCCACACCCCGGGCTCACACCCGTCTCACCCATGAGACCCGATCCTGCTCAGCTGTGGGACTGAAGTGCTGGGGGAGGAGAAGGTTGACGGGCTCAGTCGGTGTCTCAGGAACTGCACGCTTCCTCTGGGCCTTGTCGGGGGCCCGGATGTTGTTCGTTCCTGTCTGAGGTCCCCGGCCTGGCTCACTGCTCCCTCCCCCCATCAGTACCCTCTCGCTGGCATTTCCCCTGAACAGCGTCAGATCTCTCACAGCCCTGTTGATTTGAGGAACTGCTTTGCAGCCTGATTTATCAAAAATAAAAACAGAGTAATTTTCAGAGTATTTTAGACACCCTTTTGCACTCAACCTCAGTTCTTTAAAACTCCGGCTACTTTATAGCCATCGCAGTTACTACTTCTTTTCTCTTAAAACAGTATATCCCTGAAGTAAGGGAAAAAAAAAATAATAAGCACAGAATTGCTGATAAGCAGAAACATGTGAAAAGAGACAGCAGTTTGTGTGTGTTTGCAACGTAACCTTTTCACTTGCTGTTGGGGAATTATCCTAAAGCGGTACATCAATACCGAAAGACACAAAACTGGAACTCTGCACCCTGTCATAAAACCAGGAGAAAAAGTGAAGCAGGCATTTGTGGCTGCGAGCTCCCTTCTGGCGGTAGCAAAAAGCCAAAAGCCTTTTTGTGAGTCACAGGACAGCCAGCGGCTGCCTACAAATAACCCCATCACGGCCCCAGACGGAAGGGCTTTGCCGTGAGGGTCAGAGTTTAACTCAGTTAAGAATGGCAAAGGCTGCTGATGGTGGTGTTCTGAACTCCTGAAATCATCTCTCCCGTCCTACTGACGTGCAGGAAGGAACAGTGCTTGCCGACTCCGTTCCCATGTATCATGGCTCCCAGCCAGGCCAACTTGTCTGGTACTCACCTCCTGTGTCTGTGAACGTTCTTTCTCGCAGAACACATACACCAATGCAGATAAGCTACTCGAGGCGGCCGAGCAGCTGGCCCAGACCGGGGAATGTGACCCGGAAGAGATCTATCAGGCTGCCCACCAGCTCGAGGACCGGATACAGGATTTCGTGCGACGCGTCGAGCAGCGGAAGATCCTCCTGGACATGTCGGTGTCCTTTCACACCCATGTGAAAGAGGTAAGCTTCCAGGGGACAAAGACGGAGCCCTGCCCGGAAGGGCCTTGGGGCTCCATGGGCGGAACGAGGGTGGTTGTGATGTCAGGCAGTGGACCAGAGGTGGCCCGTGAGGACGGGTCGCCCGTGGGTGGTGGTGACGGGGACCCAGCTGGCCTTGCTGGCCTGCCTTTGTCACACGGGCACACGCACGCCATCTCCCGGGGAGGCGCCTGCCAGGAGCAGACCTGTGAGGGTGGGGCTGGCCTGGGGAGCTGCGGGTCAGGAGGAGAGCAGGGAAAACAGGGGCTGGAGGAGACCCTCGGAGAGAGCAGGGCACGTCCATTTTAGCAGAAGCGGATGACCTACACTTTGGGGTCAGGGCCGTGGGGCTTCCTTTCTGCCTGTGAGCCTGTCATGTGGTTGAAGGCATGGCTACTTTCTGATTTTATCAGACTGTGTGGCTGCCCTCAGATACTCGTAGGAGTGCATTTTATATAATGCTGAATTTATTAACAGTGCAGTCATCGGTAAGCTCTCCTGGTAAACTTGTCTTGGGATAAGAGATAATGTGTAATTTGGTAAGTGGAAAGTAGGTTGGTATTAATTATATCTTGCATGTGTGTTATTCTTAGTGAAAACCGTAGTCCAGTATAAAATTTAAAAAAAATAAAATCATAGTTTGAGATAGTAGGATTTTTAATAAAAGCTAAAGTTTTCAGTAAGACTGCGAATTTAAAATGTCACCTTTACTGCGTCTTATTTCTAAGGGGATAAATTCTCCATTTCACAGCTCTTTACATACTGGAAATCGGGGCCCTTTTAGGTAAATTGAGGTTGAGTCCAGAAAAGCTATAGTAACAGGCTAGGAAGAAAGATCTGGAAGACACGGGACTGTGGAAGACACTTGCAAACGGGTAGGCCTGGCTTGCCTTATTTAAAGACACTCAGGAACTTGTGAATTTGTTTAAAAGAAAAGAACTTCTCTGCACGTGTGGGATCTTGGGCAGTCAGTCCTCAACCAGGCCAGCTGTAGCTCGAATGTTTGACTCCAGGAAAACCATATTCACTTTCAACTCTGAAATTTTGTGAGCCCCGGAGATCTAGTGTGTAATAGTCGCTCGTGTCCAGCTCTTCACAACCCTCTGCACCGTGGCCTGCCAGGCTCCTCTGTCCATGAGACTCTCCCGACAGGGAATACTGGAGTAGGTTGCCATGCCCTCCTCCAGGGGAGGCTAGTATAGGGGGCGTATGTAGTGAATGGCTGGGACCCTGAGCAGCCCTTTCTGGGAAGGGGCTGGTGCCCTTTGGATCCTAGACTCTTTGTCAGCATAGAAAACTGACAGGAGCAGCTTCTTTTTCTGGTTTAGTAATGCCACCACTGAAAAAGACTTTTTTTAGTGTTTGTAAAGACACTGTTTTTCTCCAAGGAGACACGTTAAGCAGACATTGATTAACAGCGGTTTCTGACTACGGCTGCAGGTTCGCCAGTTCCTCCTCACTCCTCTTTGAGTCAGGCCACTACCACTAACTAGTCTCCCTGCCCCTGCCAGCTCCCAGCCCCGCTGCAGCCCTGCCGCCAGGAACGCACATGTCGTGACTCAGATCACCTTGCTTGTCCCATCAGTGATTCTCTGTGTATCTGGAGCACCAGCCTGAATCACCGCCGCATCCTCACGGTCTGGTCCATGCGGTTGGATGCACTCCTTTTCTACTCTTCAGCAGTGGTTAGCTGCCGTGTGTCGTGTGTGGTCACCCCCGCCCCACACTCTAGAACTTTCTCTCCGCGCACCTGTTACAGCACCTGTTTTGGGAGAGCTGTGGGTTCCTCTGTCTTTTCCATCAGTATTATTATAGGATGCTAGCTGCTCTTTCTCTCCTGCATTTTCTCCACCCTGAGAGAGAGAAGGATGATGCGCATGAAAAAGCAGGTTGTGTCTTTGCTCTTTAGGCTGTGACAGACAGAAAGCAGAGCCAGCTGGACCTTCCTGAGGGAGGCGCGGTGGGCGGGGGGCTGCTGTTCCTCACCCAGGCTGCAGGGGCCGCTGTGGGCCTGGATGGGCCCCTGGGCAGCAGGCACAGGCTGAGCTAAGGGAAGGGCAGCAGGCCTGGAGTCTGCAGGGCACACGGGGGCCGGTGGTGGGATGCCTGTGTCCCAGGCCTTAGGTTAGGCGTATTCTCAGCAGGATTCATGAAGATTTAACTTGCATTAGGACAAAAAAAAAAGGCACTTTCCATGAAGTGCTATTTACGCCTTTGATCACCTTTTCCACTTTTTGTTAGGGTTCTCGCGGAAGAGGCACTAAAGGAAGCCGGAAGGAAAGCCTTTTACAAAAGCCGTTCTCCAGAGACTTAAGTTTGGGTTCACTGGATTTTGTAACATCAGCAGCATTTTTAAGGAAAAATTTTACAGTGAAAGTGTTCCAGTTAGCCAACTATAGAATCTGTTGTCACTAGGCCTGGACATTTACTGAAAAGTGAAAATACATTTTGTTCTCTTGACTTACACTGTAGGAACTTGTAGTATATGTGAAGTTTATAGACTAAGGAGAACTTACACGTGTTCAAAGAGTGAAGTGGTTCCCCTTCACAATTCGAGACATTTCCATGCATTCATTCTTTCCTTTGTATATGAAAGACCATCGCAGTATCAGAGAAACTGGTGTGTGTGTTCACTGTGATTTGGTTCCTTGTAAATGTGTGCCTCCAAAGTGACCTGGGCCAGGGGAGGGTTGGGTGACAGTGGGGGGAGGGGTGCACAGCAGGACACACATGTACCCAGAGGGCAGGCCTTTAGGGAAGCTGGTCACCCACGGGTGTGGAAGGTGCTGTGATTCTTCCCCTCCATCCATGTGCTTAGACTACATTTTTTTTTTCCATTTATTTTTATTAGTTGAAGGCTAATTACTTTACATCATTACAGTAGTTTTTGTCATACATTGAAATGAATTAGCCATGGATTTACATGTATTCCCCATCCCGGTCCCCCCTCCCACCTCCCTCTCCACCC